TCTCCCCAAATGAGATTAACCAGCCAACCTACTTTATCTTGAAACCACAAGTCTTGTAAGAGGCCTTCTGCAGAGGGTCAGTGTGAACCATTGAAACCATGACAGCTAAAACAAGCAGTGCTTAAAAATCACTCTTTCTAGATGGGGCATGTGGTTCAGATGTAGAGCACTTGCTTAGTTTACTAAATACACTAGTTTAGTCCCCTTTGTAAAAAAACAAACACTCTGCAGAGTTATTTAAGAACAGACAGATTTCTATAAGGAATATGACAACTCTGGTGAAATAGGATGTCTTTTCATGCAACATGGTTAAATGTTAATATTTTATGTGTTTTGGACTTTTTCTGAACCTGATAACACAGATTTTTAATTTTTTACTACTTATTGTTTCTCAACTTTTAAAATTAATAGCATATCCAGATATTTCCAGAAAAATAATACTTATAATAATACCTTACATTTAACTGAACAGTGAAATTATATTATTGTCATTTTGCAAATATCATTTTCCAATCTAATGAGCTGGAAGTCAGTAAACTCTGGTGACAAGTAAAAAAGCCTAAAGGAATCAACTAACCAACTAGAGAGGAAGTCAGGAGTTCAGTTTTATACTTAGACCATAATATATACATAAATAAGACTGCTGTCCTGTTATGGGCTTGTCAGTGGTGGTCATGATCTTCATATGCCTACAAAACTGGATTTTTGCTTTGATAGTACTCATTCCATGGTAATATCTAATTTTTTGACTCCTGTTCACTTGATAAAGTGTGTTTGATCACCTTTGCTTCTCAAACATTAAGGTAACCTAGATTTTACCCTTATCAATCATTAATCAACACTTAAGTATGATAAAAATAAATTGCTCAGAAAAATCCATGCCAAATGGTTAATGTCTGTGTAAATTACTTGGAGTCTATTTGTTGGTACTTTTGTTGTTCATTGTTTTGTTTTGGTTTTGATTGTTTACAAAGTCTTCAAGCTGATACTGGTTCATCTTAATGATTATAAAACATCCTGGTTTCAGCCATTTCATGAGAGTCACTGGACTAAACAATGTGTGCTTCTGTCACAGAGCTCCTTAATAAATGCTTTATTTATTATCTTTGATGGTTTCTTGCTCCCTTAAACCAGCTTATCCCATAGATATATTAAAACTGAGTTGTTATTAGCAAGGAGCGTATGTGTGGACTCCTTGTATCCTTTTTTTCTTTTTTTTAAGGGTTTTCCATTTACAAATGTAATAGTTAGTAGGTAATATGATCAGATGAATGAGAACTTTTTGAGGAAGAGCTCCTGTAGGCCTTCATATTGGTGAGATCCAGAGGGTACCCTGACATTGAACTTCAGAAATTCGTGCTATTCTTCAGTGTACTCATTAGCAGATAATTTAATATGATATCTTTATACCTTGCATTTAACTTAGCAGATAGTGTGTGTATATGTGTGTATGTGTGCGTGCGTGCGTGCGTGACAGACAGACAGACTGACTGACTGACTGACTGACTGACTGACTGACTGAGATTCAATTTAGGCTTGTAGCAAAGATCTGAATCTTCCTTACCTGGACTCTATTTTTTTTAACCTAAATAAGCAATTTTAATGTCACAGCCTCAGTTTTCTCAGAGGTAGCTACTCAATTCTATCAGACTTCTAAAAGGCAGTGGTTTTAGAAGAAATAGCAGGCATTGTGGCAGCCAGGAGAAAAAAAATAAAGCATGCAGAATGGTTGTGTGCCATTGGGTGAGAGACGCGAAGATGTGGGAATGAGATGATGGTGGTGCTTCTGGTGATGGTTCATATGGGTTGCTGTGGTTCCTGTGACTCAGTTAACTCCATAGGCTGTGATCTTGTGCATGTGTGTTGACCTATAGTTTTAGGTTCAGGATGCCTGGGCAGAACCTGGAGAACACATGACTGTACTGCTCCCACTGGGGCTCAGCTTAACAGATACCAGCAATCACAAGAGCTAGTTAGAAAAAAATGGTGTAGAAGAGGGCAGTACAGAGTTCTAGAAAAAGCCTTGTTCTAAAAGCATTCTACTTGTTGACCTAACTGTAGTGTACTGCAGAATGGTGTTCAGTGAGTTCTTGGAGTCAGTGAACTGAAGCATCAGAATTTTGGCGATCAAGTTTTGGACTCCAAGAGGGTTTCTTGGAACCTTCACAAGTTGTCTTTTGTACACTTCACTTCTGATTTCTTATCTGTTTAACATTCCCATGGATATTCTGGATTCTATCATGGTGGCATGGAGCAGGGGTCACACTGTCAATGAAATAAGGTATATAACATCACAATTTACATTTTTACAATCCTACAACACCAGCATTTCCTTCTGTTCCCCACATTCCAGAAACAAGGCTCTGAAGAACATCAGTAGCTTTTAGTGACCATTGTCTAGTGCTGTTGGAGCACTCCAGAATTGTCTGAAGATACTAACCACCCATGGCATTGTATGCTTACTTTAAACGGAGTTTGTGAGAACATTTCATTTTTTTAACAAATTTTATTTAAATTAGAAACAATCTTATTTTACATATCAATCCCAGTTCCCTCTACCTCCCATCCTCCCATGACCCCCACCGACTCCCCATCCCATCCCCCTTCTGCTCCCCAGGGAGGGTGAGGCCTTCCATGAGGGATCATCAAAGGTCTGTCAAGTCATTTGGGGCAGGTCCTAGGCCCTCCCTTGTGTATCTAGGCTAAGAGAGTACCCCTCCATGGGAAATGGGCCCCCGATGTCCATTTGTGCACTAGGGACACATCCTGGTTCCACTGCCCGAGGCCCCATAGACTACCCAGTGCTCCTAGCTGACACCCATGTTCAGGGGGCCTGGTTTGGTCTTATAAAGAACATTTCATCATAAGGCAACTATATCTTTATGATAAGGGAAGGAAAAGCATTTTGACAGTTTTCATAGCAAGGGGCATCCACACATGCTGACTATATAAACTGATATGAGAGATGCTATACATCTCTCCAATCTGTTTTAAAGAAGTAATTCAGATAAATGCTATCTACTCACTCACACTTGCTGTGATGGTTCAGATCATGACTGGTCCAGAGGGACGTTCACACACAAAGGCTAAAGGTAGACTTTCCACTGCAAAAATAGTGAAGGTTCCTTCATCCTCACCCTCTTCCCTAGTGTAACATCTTGTGTAATCATGGCACAGTTGTTGAAATAAGGGAATCAAGATTATTATGACACTGTTAACAAATCCAGAGTCTTTCTTCACATTTTGCTAACTTTCCCACTAATGTGTCTTTTCTGATCTAATATCCCCAGCACCACACAATCACGACTTGACCACCTGCCCTCTAACTGCTGTACTTTACAGAGTTTTATCCAGTATCACATAGACTGCCTCCTCAACTTTGGTTTTCCTGATCCTTCCTCATAACTGGGTTGAAGAAAAATATTTACAAGAACTCCCTTCCCAAGTAACATATGTCATTAAGGGTACAAGATGGCTGGGCGGTGGTAGCACAGGCCTTTAATCCCAGCACTCAGGAGGCAGAGGCAGGCAGATCTCTGTGAGTTCGAGACCAGCCTGGTCTACAAGAGCCAGTTCCAGGACAGCCTCCAAAGCCACAGAGAAACCCTGTCTTAGAAAAAAAATGTACAAGATGACAATATATCTCCCTTCTCTCCAGGCTGTGTCTATTAGATTGCTCCAGTGTAAAGTTAGGATTTTTGTCTTTGTACCTAATAAGTGTGTTGTCATTTTTAAGCTTGTTTTGGTGTTTAACCCAAGGCCACACACATGCTAATCAGTTTCCTACAGCTTAACAACTTCCCTGCACTATTTTGTTTTTCTAGACGGTTTTGTGCTTTCTTAAGTTGATGGTCAGAGTTGAAGTAAGTGTCATGCATGGAGGGCTACAAAGATCCCTGATCCCAGTTGGCTTAAGACATGACGTCTTAAAAAATTTCACATAGTCATTATTTAACTGTTTGAATAGATTTCTCTCAGCACATGTTAAAATGGATTGCTTGACATTACATTGCAGGATTCTTAAGTACTACCTCCAGGCAAATATCATAGTTACTAGCAAAAATGAAAGTGTGAAGTGCTTTTTAATGTATATTTAACAGCACATAGTCTGATGATGGCTGATGTGTAGTCTCTATGGGCTCCGTTTGCTACCGGAGGAGGATGCTGAGAGACAACTTTTTACATATTTCTTCTATGTAAAGCCATCACATACATGCTTCTCAGGTATCTGTTACTGTCCTTTCAACAAATCCTAAAATGTCATATACATTAAATGCACGTCAAACTTTAAATGGCTGGCTTACAGCCAGTTTTCAACAAGAGGAAAGTTACTTTTCACACTCTACCTCATGAAATTGCCTAATCTTAACCATCATGAAAATACAGGCGTTTTAAAAAGACAGTATGCAATGGACTTTTGAGGGGGTGATGCTGTTTTACTCATTTCTCTCTTTTTAAAAATTATTCCAAAAGTCACATAACTCCCATTTAAAGGAATTTCCATCACTGAATCTAGTGCCATGTCTGCTTGACTTGAAGAAGTACACATCATGAACTGTACTTAATTCTATCCTGTGGTGTCATTATTTAACAAAGATTAGGGAACAATTTTTTGCGTTTATGCTACGTTGCACAGCAAGAGTTCTCATCTTATACTAATATATGCTAAAGAGTTGCATAGTATATAGATCATCATTGTTAAAATGGCAGTACTGAAGGCATTTTAGATCGCAAAGCCCCAGTGATCCACATTTTGTTTGCCTTGACATTATTAAACTCAATCTGTTTATATAACTGTGACTGTAATTGCTACATTTGCATGGCAGAAAAGTTTGCTTTTGTGTGTTAACTTTTATTAACACTGCTCGCATGCAGTTTTCTGCTCTGGCTCTCTGTGTTTCATAAGCTGGTAGAGCACCTTCAGTTGCACTGAATAATTATGCACAATCAATAAGGCTTTTTTTTATTTGTCTTTGTTGTTTCTTTGATGTGGCCTGTAGGATGCTGCTGGCAAAGTACTGGACCGCTGGGCCATCATGTCTCGAGAAGAGGAAATCATCACCCTCCAGCAGTTTCTACGGTTTGGAGAAACCAAATCCATTGTGGAGCTGATGGCAATTCAGGAGAAAGAAGGGCAAGCTGTGGCTGTGCCATCTTCAAAGACAGACTCGGATATAAGGACTTTCATTGAGAGCAATAATCGCACCAGGAGCCCTAGCCTCCTTGCTCACTTAGAGAACAGCAATCCTTCCAGCATTCATCATTTTGAAAACATACCAAACAGCCTTGCATTTCTGCTTCCATTCCAGTATATAAACCCGGTCTCAGCCCCATTGTTAGGGTTGCCTCCCAACGGGCTGCTTTTAGAGCAGCCTGGACTGAGGCTGCGGGAACCTAGCATATCAACCCAGAATGAATACAATGAGAGCAGTGAATCTGAAGTATCTCCCACACCTTATAAGAGTGATCAGACACCCAATAGAAATGCCCTGACTAGCATCACTAATGTGGAACCCAAAACCGAGCCGGCCTGTGTTTCCCCCATTCAGAATTCTGCCCCAGTCAGTGATCTAAGCAAAACTGAACACCCAAAAAGCTCATTCCGGATTCACCGTATGAGAAGGATGGGGTCAGCCTCCAGGAAAGGAAGGGTGTTCTGTAATGCATGTGGGAAGACATTCTATGACAAAGGCACTCTCAAAATTCATTATAATGCCGTTCACCTGAAAATCAAACACCGATGTACCATTGAAGGTTGCAACATGGTCTTCAGTTCCCTTCGAAGTCGGAATCGCCACAGTGCCAACCCCAACCCTCGCCTTCACATGCCTATGCTAAGGAATAACCGAGACAAAGATTTAATTAGGGCTACATCAGGAGCTGCCACTCCAGTCATAGCAAGCACAAAATCAAATCTCACACTCACGAGTCCTGGTCGGCCCCCAATGGGTTTTACCACTCCTCCACTAGACCCCGTCTTACAGAACCCTCTCCCTAGCCAGCTGGTATTTTCTGGGCTAAAGACTGTACAACCAGTTCCTCCTTTTTATAGAAGTTTACTTACTCCAGGGGAAATGGTGAGTCCTCCAACCTCCCTCCCAACCAGTCCCATCATCCCAACCAGTGGTACCATAGAACAGCATCCTCCTCCCCCCTCTGAGCCAATAGTGCCAGCAGTGATGATGGGCACTCATGAGCCCAGTGCTGACCTGGCACCTAAGAAAAAGCCTAGGAAGTCAAGCATGCCTGTAAAAATTGAGAAGGAAATCATTGATACAGCTGATGAGTTTGATGATGAAGATGATGACCCTAACGATGGTGGGGCTGTGGTCAATGACATGAGCCATGACAATCATTGTCATTCCCAAGAGGAGATGAGCCCAGGCATGTCTGTGAAGGACTTTTCGAAGCATAATAGAGCCCGGTGCATTTCAAGAACTGAAATCAGGAGGGCTGACAGTATGACATCTGAGGACCAGGAGCCTGAGCGGGACTATGAGAACGAGTCTGAGTCTTCAGAGCCTAAACTTGGTGAGGGATCCATGGAAGGGGATGAGCACATCCACAGTGAGGTGAGCGAAAAAGTCCTGATGAACAGTGAGAGGCCTGATGAGAACCACAGTGAGCCATCTCACCAGGATGTCATCAAGGTAAAGGAAGAATTCACAGATCCCACTTACGACATGTTTTACATGAGCCAGTATGGACTGTACAATGGCGGGGGGGCCGGCATGGCTGCCTTGCATGAAAGTTTTACATCGTCTCTGAATTATGGAAGCCCTCAAAAATTCTCCCCTGAAGGTGACCTGTGTTCTAGTCCAGACCCCAAAATCTGTTATGTGTGCAAGAAGAGCTTCAAAAGCTCCTACAGTGTAAAGCTTCACTACAGGAACGTTCACTTAAAAGAGATGCATGTCTGCACAGTGGCTGGCTGCAATGCCGCCTTCCCCTCTCGACGAAGCAGAGACAGGTCAGTAAATCTCCATTGGTGGCTCCTGCTGAGGGTGGGGATACAGGTTCAGTCATGGTGGACTTAAAAGGTAGATGTTTTTGATGCACTGTAAGGGTTGCCCATATTGGCCACGTGATCACTAAGCTGCCATGCTCATGAAGGATTTACGCAGCCAGTGCTTGTTGTGATGAAGCATGCAGAACCATGTCATTTTACCTAGTAATGCACGCCATTTTTCTCTGTGTATGTGTATGTGTATGTATATGTGTATGTTTCCATGCATCTAGGTGTGAATAAGTTAACAGTACACAGTTCCTTGCCTCCCCATGAACCTTTCCTTAGAAGCCACAGCTTCTATCATTCATATATATATATATATATATATATATATATATATATATATATATATATATACTTTGCTTTGTGGCTTTTTAATTAAACCAATATATTATCTTCATACACACATATTTATCCAATATAGAAACAGAAATTTACGGATGGAAAGAACCATAGGTCCAGGACATCGAGACAGCCTGCATCTCCGTAGGTATAACCAGAAATGTTATCATTCCTTACATGAGTATTTAGTGTGTCCTTCAATTCTTTAAGAGTCATGAAACTATCAAAAGACAATGAGGTCAAAGTAATTGTGAGATGGTGAAAGAGCATGTTTGTGTGGGTTTCTTTGTTTCAACTCCATAGTGCCTTTGATCACAAGTCTAAAATGTAATCTGCCATGGGACTTCACCACAGAAGTGGGGACATGCCTAGGTACATGTTTTAAGATCAGTTAGAATTTTATTACATACAGCTATCAGATTACATCCCTCTTAAGTTATGTAGCTATAGTTCTGAAACCATGGGACTTAAACAGAAGCAGCTGGTCTAAAACCTACAATAGTTTTTGTCAATTCTCTTACAATATGAATGGAATGTCAGAGTGGTCCTTCAGTGATGGGACAACAAGGCGATCCCTCACTTATGGAGGATGAGCCTTTGGGAAAGTTTTTCCCATAGTACCCCAGTCCAACTCAGGTCAGAAGTCAGCCAGTCCTGCCTACTACATGGGATATACATTGTGGTTCTACACTAACTTTTTAATATTTTCAGGTAAAATTTTATTTCATACTTTATATGTGAAAAAAATGAATGCAGTTTCCAAAGATCTACCACCTTATTCTAGTATTTATTAGTTGGATAGAGGTCTTGACAAAGCAGACGGTAGTGAAAACGCCACTTGGATTGCTGTGGCAGTACAACCTGTGACCATGACACTTGGGAGGAGCTAGGGATAGCCAGCCTGACCTCAGTCTGAGCTATGTACTAAACCCTGTCTTGATTTAAAAAGAAAAGTATAACTGCAAAGCAGTGACCTGTCTTTGCAACATTTTCATATATGAAAACTCAATCCTTTTTTAAATGAATATACATATTTTCTTTCTTTTTACTGACACAGAAGGGATCAAGTTCTGTTCCTTTAATTATTTCCTACCTCTGCTATCCTAGATCTATTAAAAGGGGTTTCTTTTCAGTTCTAAATTCTTATTGACAGTCCCAGGCAATTCCAAATAAGATACCTATACTTTGAATAATAAATGCAGTACCACCCCTCCATTCCAAATTTGGAATAACATCCTTTCAGATTTCAAATAGTATATTAGTGATGATGAGGTTAATGCATTGAAAACATTTTTCATTGAAATTTTTAACAAATATAGCAATTGTGAAAACTTGCATAAAATACTTATGAAAATGGAGTGTTTGAAGCCAACATTTAAGCTTATTTGCTTGAATTTATCTCACATTTTAGTTTGCTGAAAACATCACAGTTCATAACACTTGGAAGAGTAAATAACAAAGGATAAGGCTCCGAGCCTGGGGCCTCCACTAATGCAGTCGCTGCTGTACTCTAGAGCACACGGCTGTATGGAACACACGCTCTCCTGTGCTCTAGAGCACATGGCTGTACGGAACACACGCGCTCCTGTGCTCTAAAGCACACGACTGTATGGACACACGCGCTACTGTGCTCTAAAGCACACGGTTGTACGGACACACACTCTCCTGTGCTCTAGAGCACATGGCTGTACGGAACACACGCGCTCCTGTGCTCTAAAGCACACGACTGTATGGACACACGCGCTACTGTGCTCTAAAGCACACGGTTGTACGGACACACGCTCTCCTGTGCTCTAGAGCACATGGCTGTACGGAACACACGCGCTACTGTGCTCTAGAGCACACGGTTGTACGGACACACGTGCTACTGTGCTCTAGAGCACACGGTTGTACGGACACACGCGCTCCTGTGCTCTAGAGCACACGGTTGTACGGACACACGCACTACTGTGCTCTAGAGCACACGGTTGTACGGACACACGCACTACTGTGCTCTAGAGCACACGGTTGTACGGAACACACGCGCTACTGTGCTCTAAAGCACACGACTGTACGGACACACGCACTACTGTGCTCTAGAGCACACGGTTGTACGGACACATGCGCTCCTGTGTCTGTGCAGGCGTAGAAGGAGGTGCTGTTGAGATAGAATTTGTTCGTCTCAGGGGAAATGTTCACTGATAGAAAAGGAATATTTTAGTTGCCATTTTTATTATAAGGACTCGAGAGGTTAGCCACTGCCTGCCACCCAGAAGTTAGACCAGGGGTTCTTACAAATCCAAGACTACAGACCAGCTGTTTCAAAAGACAGTCCATATATTGTGTGAGGGTGACATAGTGTACTGTATCCAATCTTTTTCATTTCAGAGCTTCATCATGTGATAAATGACAAAATACAAGTTGAAAAGATACCATGAAGTGAGGATATTTTATTCTTGAAACTTGGCTTTCTAAAAACTACACAGACCTTTGATCCCAGCTAACTCCTTAAAAACAAGTTTGGCATTTATTTTTTGTCAAAAGAAAGTATTCACCCTGTTGAGATGATGACTTAACACAATGATGTGTCACTAAGTGCCACCAAAATAACAAGACACAGTGATGCCATTGAGTTGCCAGCCTCTTCCTGAATCTCAGCAGAGTGGACTTGGGAGCATAATTAAATACCGCTTTCAGACTGGAGTCATCTCCTCAGTGAATGTCAGTCAGTGTGTGTGTCTCCTTGTACAGAGGCTCTTAGGTCTCATCTATGGTCTGCTCCTTAGACTTGCCTTCTGGGGTCTCCTCTTTTATTGCTACACCAACTCCAGAAAGCCTGTGTTCCTCTTCTTCCTTTATCAAATGATGAATTAAAACAATGATGAGCTTTCTTAGCAACAGACCTTCCCAAGAAACTCTCCTTTGTCTTTAGACATCCTGTCCTAAACCTTTTCTTTCTACTCTGAAGAGGCCTGGCTTCATCAACCCTTGCCTCCACAGTGTCTTCCTTGTGCAAATAAAGCAGCAGAGGGGAAGTTCCCCAGTGGGATGTGTCCTCATGGCAGCTGAAGTGGGCAGGGCCCCTAGTGCGCAGACTCTGCTCCTTTCTCCTGCTCACCCAGGCAGCTGCCTTGTCCTCCAGTCTGCAGTACCTCATAGGGGCTGGGAGCAGCTTCTGAGATGAGCACACACGAGGGGGTGCAGGTCTTCTGGTGAGCATGCTAGTAAGACAGGCATTAAAGTACGATGTTTTGGGTTTGACGGCGAGAGAAGGACACACCTGCCAGGGATGACAAGAGTCAGCAACATTATCAAAGGTGTCCTGTGAATAGTTGTCAATAATGGTGTATTTGATCAATTCAAAAGTCAGGAGGACCATTCCACGTTAGTGGCAAAACAAGCTAATATTCCCCTCATCACCAAGTAGCTGTAAGAATGATCTTTATTCTGAATGATTGACGTGAAAAGTAAACCATTTCCTCTGTAAAGAGCTCTGTTGCTCAGAGATGATTGTCATCTCTTTCTTTCCTTATTTGTCCCTTTGATTTTTCTGCTGCTGAGTTGTTCTGCCAGGGAACAAGAGGCTGACTTGGAGAACTATGCACATGGGAAGAAATTCTGACCAAGTAGCCTGGAGCTGGAGTGTGCATAAAAGCATGATAGTCACACTCAGCAGGGCTTAGTTTACCTGTGCTAGCTTCTCATCCTCAGACTTAATGTTTGATCCTTAGGATGGTTCACTGACCACTCGCCTACACAGAGGAGAAACTCATGCGTCATTTTCTTTCTTTATTATTATTTAAAGGGTGGGGGAAGCAAACTAGCAGCTAAATCATCTGTCCATTTTCCTAACTTCCTTCAGCATTTCCTAGTGTATTGTTTTATTTGTATTTGCTTTGGTGATTGGAAATTTAAAACCGAAGCCATCCAGAAACTAGATGATGTGTACAGAAAGAAGTGACCATCCTTTCGGGCTTTGCCCTCTTCATTTGTTAGCATCGCACAGTAATTGCTGAAGCTTGTCATAGATTGTATCAGAAAGGCAAGAGCCTCTTCTCAATCCTTAAGGTGTGTGGAGGTTGTTTCAGCCAGATGAATAAATTTTAAAACAAAATAATGTATGCCTAGGGTGATTTATAAATAAATATGAGGTAACCATTGATGCCAAGTGTGAATCTTCTCTTTGATTGCTAGTTAAATCAGTCCAGATTTAAACATGTAAACTTCTTGATTTGTATGGAGTAAGACATCTGTATTTGGTTTATTAAAACCTGCTGATGTCTCCAGAACTAAATTTGTTCTTGTATAGGCCTCTGGGTAGCCATAGCTAAACAGCAGAGATGTATAGTTTTTGCTCATCTTATTACCTGACTTCCAGCCCTGTACAGGTGTGCGGGAATAAATTAACATGAGCTACTCTGATGAGCCACTGCATACATTAACAACAGAGGTGAAGATGTGAAAACATGCTACCTGCCTCCTGTTACCACCTTCTCAGCAAAGTGGCATCCAGTTTTTTCATCATTCTCTATGTTTGGAAACTTATAGAGAACTTTCATAGAGAGAGCTTTTCAATAAATACCAGGCGATACCTCCAAGAAATGAGCCACTTAGCACCAATTCAAGGGAACTATTAGTATATGTGCCCTAATGTAATTAGCTGTCAAATAGTGTGTTAATCCTCAGAGGAGAGCCTCTTAATAGATGACTGCTTCATTTCCAACACTGTGCCCAATCAGATTTCAATTCTCTGCTTCGAAAATTCTTCATACAGTGAAGTTGTGTAGGTCCTCTGGCTTTTATACGTTGAGATGTTCCCCCACTGCTCCTCTGTTTGGTTTCACAATAGAGCCAGCAGATCAATAGGCCTTTTGTGCTTATCTCCATTACTTTCCATCAAAAGCAAACAAACAGAGTAAATCCCCCTCCTGAGTAATTGCTGGTTGTGCCCTCCTCAAGCAAAACTTTGGTAGTAAGATAAACTTCGGTGTCATTCTTGTCCCCGGGGTTCTTTTTATACACTGAGAGAAGAGCAATGAGCAAAACGGTCTCCTTGTATCATGGGGAGAGACTCTGTCAAGCCTAAAGTGAGCCTTGGATCTTCCTAATGACCTCCTGCTGGCCCAGCTGGATGCAAGACAAGCTCATTTAAACCTCTGCTGACCTTTC